GGGTGCTGGCGTTGGAAAACAGAACGAAGGTAGAGGTTGCAGAAGCACAGTGTAAGCTAGAGGGCGAAACGTCTTCAACTCCGTCCGAGAAGTCGGGGTAAAGGCAAGTGTCAGCGCCGCTCAGGAGTGAAGGAAAAACCGTGGTAGCCGAAATGAGTCCGAGACCGTCGGCAGCATGAGCGGTAGTGGGAAGCACAAGAGGCCGAAAGGGTAGGGAAGAGTGCTAGTATAGGACAGCATGCTGTGAGGCGACGAGAGGTTCGGTCCGGAGTGGTGGTGCACTAGCCCATTGTTGAAAACCGATGGTCAAAATGGCCGTGTATGGCTGAGCCAACCGAGAGGGCCCGAAAGTCATGACTGGTTCAACACCCCTCCTATCTGACCCCTTCTAGTAATGGTTCCAGTAGACTGGACGCCTAACTACAAGACCCAGGGTCACAAAGCTGAAACATCCATCTACCCCTTCTACCTGACGACTTTCTGTAGAGCAGAGACCTGACTGCAAACCCAAGGATCGGAAACCCAGAAAGCAGCAAACTACCCTTTTTGTCTGAAAGGCTACAGCAGAGCAGAGGCCTAGTCTGCTCGTCCCGGATTCCCGTGTATATTGCCAACAATCTTTATCGAAACAGCCTGTGACAGATTTATCCCAACGATTGGCAAATTTTGCAGAGAAACGAGCCAAGGTCTGGATAGCCGCGTAGTTGTAACTCACTCTTCAGAGTGACAAGGAACAGGATTTTGGCCTCCAGGAAAGTAGCGAAGGTCCTTTTTTTTTTTTTCTCCTGAGGCCAACGGCTCCATCTATTGGTGGGGAGCCTCACCTCCCGAAAACCAGGTCCAGTGTCCCATCAACATCAAATAAGATTAAAAACATAAGTATTAAAGGGAATGCAGGGTATCCTACTATCCTGTTCAGCTTCCCATAGGAGCCGCCGGATTTATCCTTCAAAACCAGCCCCCTGTTCATCCAAATAACTTGACTGAGAATAATTTAACTTTCCCCCAAGCCAAACAATTGTGTTTCCACTAAAGCTTGCTCAGAGGGAGGGAAGGGTCTGAGAAAAAAAAAAAACAGCAGCTCTGAGACTCTCTCCGGGCTGGAGCAAGGACCATTCGCAGAAGACCAGCTGGAGATCCTTTTTTTTGAAGGGTACCTCTGTCTCTTCCGCCCCTGGCCAAAGCATCTCTCCCAAGCATCTCTCAGTAGCTCCCCCCAGCCAGTCCATATACCAAATTTCCGAATTGTTTGTTGCAAATCCTTTTTGTGTTTAAATCTTTTAAGTTTGTCTTTGGTATTCTTCCAGTGTGCCCTGGTTTCTGTTTGAACAAATTGGACTACATAGTCCTTCAGATCTGATCCTTCCAGTGCTACCTCCTCCTCATGCTCATGAACTGAGAATGGCCTTGCGCCCAATAGCGAATAAATTTAACTGAAAATTAGCGGGGTGTGAAATCAGACGGTGCCCAATGTCCCAGCAGAATTCGTCAGTCCAAGCCTGTGAGACTCCTCCAGACACAATCCCACCATCTCCAAATCAGCACCGAACCCGGACATTGCATGAATATATGTCCTATGGTTTCTCGACACTTCCTGCTAGGAAATACAGACAGACAGGATTTGCGTTATGATACTGCTAGCCCTCAGAAAAAAAAAAAAAAAAAAAAAAGAAGCCCTCGTTGTTCCAGAGTGGAGTGATCGACCAACCAATCCTTTGTGGGCAGACAACGATGTAAGATCTACCACTGTAAGGAAGAGAATTTGGCGGGGCATTGTCTAATATTTTTGAATAATTTTATATGCCTAATTATGTCAATGATTAGGTGTCGTGCCCACCTATCTTGCAAGATTGCAATGACATGCGCTCTCGGGTGGAGCAGTCTGTATTCCGCTTTCACCGAGAGGGACTGTACAGTGTGCGGCTTCCCTCTCATGCTCGTTTGTCATCTCCATTCATCTGGATCCAAAAGTAATTTCGGGATAGAAAGCTCCGGATGATATGCTTGCCAACGTCTAACTGAGGAATTAAATAAAACTTTGATGCAGTAGGTATGAGGAAATGGGAAGAAAAGGACCGTCCCCTCGAGGACATGGAGTCAAAAAGTACTCCCTATCCGCCTCATGAATACTTACCAGAGCTCCTTGTGGTAATAAGTGAATCACGGTTCCCCACCAATAGATGGAGCCTCCCCGGCGATGCTAGGTGTGTCTGCTTTTATCAGCACACCTAGCATCCAATCGGGCTGTTCATTCAAAAAAAAAAAAAAAAAAAAAAAAAAAAAGAAGTGAATCACGGCCAATCCTCGTATGTTCATTGGGACCCCAAACCCCACCACTCAGTCTCCGTCCGGAAACCTAAGACCTTTCCTCAACTTACGTACCAAGGCTAAGGGGATAAAAAAGTCAATCTGTTCCAACTGATCTCCAGTCCTTAGCTTCTCAGTCCCATATATCCTTGACTCTCAAAACCCCCCTTTTGACCCAGAGAGCAAGGCGGGATTGAACTATTAAAAATACACCCATCAATATCTGTAGTCCACCGGTTACCAAATAGGGGTTGGCGTAGAACTTCCTCATAGCGGGAGGGGAAAGGCCTATTTGGCAGGGGAGCTGACGCCAAGTTTTGAGCAGCGTGGTCCAAAGGTTGTAAGGTTTGAGATTACACTTAGCAGCCCCCCTCAACCCCTCCTCTTTGGACAAAGGTCGAGCCCTAAGAATACTCCAAATTCGATCCTCTATCCAAGTGAGGGGGTGTATCTCCTGCGGTGTTGATGGAGCCAACCTACAGATTCATTCCGAGGCGAGTATCTCCCACAGCCTATCTGTTGACATGATTAACTTCTTTATCCATTGACGAGAGAGTGTCTGGGCTTGAAGAGTGGGGTCTATAACTCTTAGGTCTCCCCTTGTCTTGTGTTCGATCAGGGAGAGTCAGACCTCTTTAGTTATCACCTTTTCTTGCTCATGATTTTCCTTCCAAAGAAAAACTGCTACCTGCCTCTGAAGCATTTTTGTGCGTCTTTACTTATAGCCCAAATCGCATATTTATACCAAATGGAGGCCAGCACCACATTATTTATAGTAAGGGTGCTCCTTTTTTTTTTTTTTTTTTTTTTTTCAAGTCTCAGCTGGTAATAATAGAAGTGTGTTGATTTTTCCATTGTCTCATTTTTTCAAGGACTGGATGGCGCAGTTGCAGGCTTGCGAGCCTTGGAAGGTAGGTTCGTCAACTTAGGCGCTTGCGCTTGTGTGAACTGGTGGTTCAATTTCAGAATGCAATTGGGGAATTTTGGGCACTAAAAACAAACAAAGGTTGTGTGAATGCTGACAACCCTTTTTTTTTTTTTTTTTTTTTTCAAATGAATGCTGACCACCTGCTATGAACCTACCAGGAGCCCTTTTTTGAGTTGGTCTGTTTCAGTTGCTGCACATCTCCTGCTATAGAACATGAGTCTGCTTTTTTTTTTTTTTTTTTTTTTTTTTTTTTTTTTTTTTTTTTNTTTTTTTTTTTTTTTTTTTTTTTTTTTTTTTTTTTTTTTTTTTTTACGGTCAATGGCTGTGTATGTGGTTGGTGGTGTATGACATTTTTATAACTTTATACAGGAGGTAATTTACTAATTTAGGTGGAATCTGGATGTCAAGTTGTCATGGCAATAGAGGATTGCCCAACCATTGCCCAACCATTTGAATCGGAAAGCCTGTTTCTTACTGAACAGTGAATTTTCTATGGTTAATATAATAAATATATTAAACAATATAATGCTACTTTTCACTTTCTCTTGCAGAGTGAGAATGTGATATTGTAAACTTTTGCACGAATCTGGTCACGACAGATAGCCAGGTTCCCGTTTCATAGCACAAACATCGGACTGGCAGGGCCTTGCCCTCCTGAGGTGGGTTTTATTTCTTATCGACTTATCAAGCAGAGGGGATTGTTTTTCCGTTTCCATTTCCATATGGTTTCCATTTCCATTTCTGTTTCCGTTTCCGTTTCCGTTTCCGTTTCCGTAGGGTGGTGTTACAGGTCCTGTGCGTGCATACACACACATGCAACATGTGGGTGTGCATGCGCGTGTGCGTGAACGAATGACTTGGGAAGTTGCAATACTTCGTAAACGGTTTTTACGAGAAGTTGGGTTTACTCTTGCAAAACAACTGTATAACTTAGGTCACTTTGAGGAACAATATTTTAAACCACCACTACCTTTGAGGCTGGGAGGTGAAGTCCTAAGTATAACCTGTACCGCATTCTCCGGAGGCCGGTGCAGGCCGGGTGCTACCAGACCAAAAAGGCTGGCGGCGCCAGCGAAAACAAAACAAAAAACGCCACCCTGGCACTTCGGCCAAAGCCTGGCGTGCAGTTTTACTCCACCTCTACAAAACGCGGCCCGGAGGTAGTGGTGCTTTAAGGATAAATAAATAAAAATATTCCAACGTTGAAGAGGCTTAATGCTCACGAGACTACAACTTGTTGCACATGGGTGTGCTTGTGTGTGTGTGTGTGTGTGTGTGTGTGTGTGTGTGTGTGTGTGTGTGTGTGTGTGTGTGTGTTTTAGATTTTCCCCACAACAGCTCTGTGTGTGTGTGTGTGTGTGTGTGTGTGTGTTATATTTTCCCCACAACAGCCCCAATTCCACCCAGGTGAATAGATTCAGAATCAAAGCAGTCCGTGTGTGTGTGTGTGTGTGTGTGTGTGTTTTGAATTTTCACCACAGCTGTGTGTGTGTCTATGTGTGCTTCACAGTGCATGTGTGTGTGTCCGTGTGTTCATGCATGTGTGGGTGTACATGCATGTGTGCGTGTGCTTGGGTTTACAAGATTGTGTGTGTACCAATTGATACATAAGCAGTCGACTTGCACAGGTGCCTGTGGGGAGAGAGAGAGAGAGAGAGAGAGAGAGAGAGAGAGAGAACAGGATAAAGAATGGAGTACAAGCATCTGTCTTTGTCACAATTCCTGTACATTGAATGGGGCAAACTTATGGCAGATTGAAATCGAAGATACGGTTGAAAATTGGAACTCGTAATGGGAAACAACAAGCGTAACACAAAAGCATAAAGAGGTAACTTTCCCGCTAGGATGTAGGACCATGCAACACACAACTTCACACTCTATCTTCCTTCCTATCCATTGATCTCTCTCTCTCTCTCTCTCTCTCTCTCTCTCTCTCTCTCGCTCGCTCGCTCTCACTCTCCCTCTCCCTCCCTCTTCCCCTTCCTCTCTCTCCTCCGCTCTCCCTCCCTCATTCCTCGCATGCCCCTCTTCTTGAGGTTGTTTGGCTGTGATTGTTTCTTAACTCTGGCTATAATTTTGTTTACAGCTAGTTGCTGGCTGGGTAAGGAAGGACCTTGAAGACATGACAGTCATCGGACATGTGTCTCCCCATCCGAAAAAACATGTCAGATACCGTGTGCGATATGCAAGTAAAGAAGAACAAACAAAATGATGATCAGCAACAGCACTACCACCAGCAGTGACTATGTTCTTTACTGAAGGGGGTGTTGAACCTGTGACCGCCACAGGGAAGAGAACTCTCCTCCCTTGCAAAGAGCAAATAATGAACAGGAGGCCCGAAGACTTGATGGGATTGTGAAAATGCAAAGCACTTACGAGAAAACAGTGTCGCTACCTCCACTACCTCCACTACCTCCACTACCACTACTACCACAATCACCACAAGCGGCGATTATGTCCTAGTGCCCTATCAGAACGAAGAATCGAGCCAGTGACCACCCGAGGAGCCATGACCAGCAGTTGCCCCTTGAACGCACAGCAAAGTCTAACCTGGCATCATCAACGGAGACCGTAGGATGAAAATCCTTTGACGTCGACAGCCCCAGCTCTAGATGCAGCACCGCCAGCTTCCCTCTCTGCCTGCCGTCCTGCGCGTTTGCCTGCCTGGCAAGGAACCCTGAACCAGTGCGCAAGTGGCAGGCCTGCGCCATACCACAACATTACGTGCAAGAGCATGGAAAATCATCAGTAAAGCACCCCTCTTTACACAAGCAAACCCAAAGAAGAAGGTTTTTGCACACAGAATGGTCTAGAAAGGGCAACAGTGTTGGAGAAAAAAA